GGAGGTCCTAAGAGTAATACTACAGAACCGTATGGAAGGATTAAGCAAATTTTATCGCGACGCAACCAAAATTACATCTTACTCCATCCCAAAGCGATAGATAATGACTTGTCCCTTACTGATAATTTTAAATACTTAATGAGTGAAACGTATCTGTACATTGTTTAAAGGAATTTTCTGGAAACACAGATGGTACAACTGTGGTGTCACATGACCTTGTTCCACCAATTGCAGCACGTTACATTCGTTTCCAACCATTGGCTTGGCACTGGCAGATAGCCATGAGAGTGGAGCTGTATGGTTGTCAAGGTAACACAGTTTAATTACACTTTGGTCGAAATTGTATCGTAATGAGGTCAGATTTTAATTCTTCAGTTCTGTTGTAAAATCATGTGGAAAAAGTTCTCTGTTGCAAACATTTAATTATGTTTTTCGTTTCGCGACAGGTATCTAAAGTAACAAGAATGAATTGCCAAAAAAAGGGAAAGAAAATAAAGATCCCTTCTGAATAATGCTGTCAATCTTATACAATGAATCTCAACTATTAATGAGTGGTTCATGAGACAGTTTGCGTTAGTTGATAAATGAACCACGCGGGAAGACTAATTTAAAGAACGATGAAAGATTGCTTGGTGAAGTTATTACATAAAAGGTAGCAAGAATGAATTTCCAAGCAAGGAAAAGAAACTTATGTCTCTCATTACGTATGCTGTTGATCTAACATTGTCTAACACTCAAAATCTCACTAATCAACAACCGGTTCATTGGTCAGCTTTTCTTCATTGAGATATGAAGCACACAAGAATATTTAAAGAAAGATAAAATATTTCTCGAGGCATGGCTGAAAACAGATTGGCTCGAGTTTTGAAAGGATGAAAGATGCGCCAAAGTTACTCGAGGCATAAGCGAGAGTATCTATTGCCACTCGAGTGCTCTTCAAATTTACCACGTGCCTCGATCAGTCACATCTCGATGATCGCACAGCTGGCGTAAGAACCAATCATCTCATAACAGTTCAACACTATAGAAAGATGACGGACAAGAAAGAAACTAAGGAATATTTCAGAGCTTTTGGGGGATCAGGTAGATTTTAATTTTATCGTGACACAACTAAAATTCTCTAGTCCCCTTCAGGCGATAGATAATGGTCGGCCCTAAGAACCAATCGTCTTTTGACAGTACAACGCAGCAGTTTTATGAGCCCAAGGAAAAAGCTAAAAGCTTTTCGAGAAAAGCCGCTACAGATCACTTTCAGATTAGATGGTCATAACCTTTCATGTCGTCGTCTAATAAATAGATTAATGCTATGCTATTAGTATTGATATCCTTTCTGCCAATTCCGAATGATAACGCCGAATTTTTCAGGTTGAAGATAATCACAGCGTGGAAAGCCATAAGACGAAAACCAGTACCATAACGAGTCTGTATAGTTAAAAAAATAGAAAGCTGGTTAAGTGAGTTTCGCTGAAAAAGGTATTTTAATAAAATTTTAAAATTTTATGATCGTGACTTTTCGGCTTAGACTTCAGTCTTAAAGTGATTTCCTATTTTTACTCGATGAAAGGAAGCGGGGAAAGGTCCTTAAAGATTTCTTTGAGATTTTGTTAGCTCCATATTACGTTGCAGAGTTTTGCTGTGAATATTTTGCTGTTTAGTTAAGTTCAAGCATTACAACAGGAATATTCCTCTAAAAGACTGCCTACCTCGCTTTACTCTTCGGCTTCTTTGTGTCCAAAATCAAATTAAGACACTTTAATATGTCCAAAATCAATAATCAGACACGTGTTCAAAATAGAATATCGGACTCTAGTGTCCAAAATAAAATTCGGAAACTAGCGTCTAAAATCAAATATCGGATCCTAATGCTTAAATTTAAAAAATGGGACAAAAAGGTCTGTTGCAACCTCTTTTAGCGGTCTGTTAGTCTCCAATCTCTGTGCGGTATTGGCATATTTAAATAATTTCCGAGCCAATAAGTTATCAGAAAGAATTTTCACTGGGTGTTTCAATATCGTTTCGTAAATGTATCCTAACTGTCAGATATGTTCTTCCTGTCCTTTCTTCGTTTGAGTTTCATTTCCCTTGTTTCTTATTAATGTTAGTTTGATCATTTCTTCATGTATTTCAGAAACCACTGGTTAAGAAATTAAAACTTGAGAAGTTATCGTTGACGTTCACATCAGTGTTCGACTGTCAAAGATCGGCTTGAATGAAATTGGTGACTCAATGGCAACGAAACTCTATAAGCTCAAAAGTCTACTCTCAATTCTTACATTATTACTGCCGGCTCGCGACCATTGTCTTGATGTTTAATTGTTTTCGATGTATAATTTTCTTCAGTGTTCCCCTCTGTCACTCTCACAATGGTTTAATTATGGAACCGAGGCGTCTATTACTTCTATTAGCTCTTACTCGTCCGTGAATCCGTTTCATTGACACAAAATTGAAAATTTGCCTGGAATAAGATTTCCCACGAAAAAGGAAAATCACAAAACCTCCAAATATTGATGCATATGCCAGCCACCTGCCAATAAATTATTAACCGTAGTAATATAAAACATGAGTCAGGCATTTTGTGGAACAGTTAAGTTTTATTGGACCATTATCCCTGCTGCAGCCAAGGTACCCTGCTGGCAGAGGCGTTTATTTGTTAACTTCCCCTACGGTCCACGTAAAAATAAAGTCCTCTGCGCTCGGCCTGTTAAATCTTCTTCAAGCATGCGCGGCCTATTGCTTAGAAACAAATTAGTTCCCGGTAGTAGTCGGTCTTGCTATATAGCTAAATAGAATGCGTGCGCATAAAAACGTTTTTAAAACAGGTTCTGACCGGTTTTGCAAATCAGGTTATCCACAAACCTGGATAATTCCCAGGCGCATGCTCGAAGAAGATTTAACAGGCAAAGCGCAGAGGACTTTATTTTTACGTGGACCGTAGGGGAAGTTAATAAATAAACGCCTCTGCCTGCAGGGTACAGCCAAGGAAATTCTAAAGCACGAATTATAGCAGTTACTCTTCAGGTTTCAGCGAACAAGCACCATTTTGATAACTATAAGATAGAGGTAAGTCTAAACAAGCCTGAACAAAGGTGTTTTAAAGCAGCATATGCTTACAGAAATGAGGAATACCTAAGTTCTGCGTCAGAAATGAATTCATGCTTGAGTGAAGTGAGTCGTGATAATCTCTTAGTGAAAAGTCAAAATGTAGGATCATATTTGCCTGACATTAATGTTATCTTCTGAACAGTTTTCCTACACTTTTAAAAACACACATAGTAAGTTAAGCAACTCGGGCGTAAAAGCTCATGCAAAAGGAGAACAAGAAAGAATCGATCGCTCGAATAAAAGGAGCAGGTGTTTTAACTTTGTGGCAATTTCAGTAATTTTTATGAAAATGTTTTTACTCAGTTCATGTGCCTCTACTTTCACTTTTAAATTGTGATTAAAATTTCAGATTACATTGTCTCATTTTGGGAATTAAAGTAATCCTTGAATTTTTTTTTCTTGACTGCACTGAGACTGAGCCAAAATAAACAGCTCTCTTGTGACGCTAACCAGCTTGAAATGTAAGTAGAAAAGATAATTAGATATAATTTTATAATACGGTATGGAGCAAATAAAGGTACATATAATCCTTTTGTGTACCTAAGAGAAGCTTTGGTCGTTTTTTAATTCATTAGCTTGTGTTATTTCAACTAAATTTTCCTGGCTTGTGACATTTTCGGAAAATTCTCACAACCTCACTGATCAGAGAGATAATTTGACCTACGGGTTTCTAAGCCGAAAACAAAGGCAGCCCCAAAAATGTTAAATGCATTAAATACATCGCTATAGGCAAAAGGAGTCTGAATAAACTATAATTATTAGTATGACACGTATATCAATCCGAAAGCCTCGGCAGTTCTCGTAGTTCAACTTCCTCCATGACAATATACCACATTTACTTAAAAAAAAAGCAAAGTGTAAAAGTTCGCAGCCTGTAGATCCATTTATGCGGATCATCAAGCACACCCAGTTAGTTTTGAAATCTTCAGAACGGCCGTCCATTGAAATGTTCAAAGCATAATTTTCTTATTAGCAGACAATGTACCATGTTCCCGTTCGTCTGTTCGGTAATGATAGATCACAGATCTGTGATGACGTCAAAACACGGTAAGAACAAAAAAAAGGCGCAAACGAGTCAAAATATTGTTAATCTGACGTCATCTATGTTTCTGTCATTCAATAGATCATAAGTAAGAACAAATCATAAAGCGTGCATACTTCAGATTATCACATAAATAAGCTTACTACACGTGATAAGTCGGGTATAATTGAGTTATTATTTTTCAACTGAAGGGGGTTCCCCTTTGAACGACAAGTCAATAACTTGTGTCACTTCTCAGGGAAATATGGTCTACCTGCCTTTGCCACTGCATAATCCCATTGTTCATAGTTGCTGGATTCATTATTCCATTCATCACGGGCTCTTGCGTTAGCGGCAAATGTCTCGTTTCATTTCACTTCACTATTGGAAGGAATGCGGTGGATGGCCACGCCCTGCTTGGTCACGTGTTTGCAAATGTCTCAGTGACAGAAGTGATGGACTGTCACAGAGCATGTCAATCAAACTGCCGTTGTCTCTCGTTCAATTTCCTGACACACTCCAGCCAGGACAACTGTCAGCTGAATGAAGAAAACCGACATCTAAAACCTGGTGCTTTGACTCCAATGGAAGGCTTTCAGTACTACGATCTGGGTATCATCTACAATTCTGAGGTAAAATGTCCCCCTCGAAATCATTCAAATCACAATGTTATTAAGCATAAACATCACAACTCTGCATGTATCACGGCTAAATTTACCAAAGAGACATTCATTTTACGATCAAGACTTATGCTCTTGTTTCAGATGATGTTTTAAACTCAGGCTGTCGACAAGTCGCGATCAGCCTTTATCGCAGACAAAAGTCCTTTCTTGGAAAGTCATTGTAAAAACTACAATCAACACGATCAACCATGTATTTTCCTCACAATAGTGCCTAATTTTAAATCAACTGAAATATAAACTACCAATTACAGCTCAATGTATATTGTAGAGCAAATTGGTATCAAGTTACAGCTTGTTAGTTCACTATTGGGAGAAGATTCCTCCTGTTGATTAGAAGACACTGCCTCATTGGGAACCAGTCTCTTATCTATCGGCTGAGGGGAGGGGAGGGAGTATCTCACTAAAATTTACTTGAAGTCTCCTCCAAAGCTCCGTATCATTTTAAAGATCCCCTTTACTGGCAGATCATTTTTTATTGTTCCCCTCTTTATACTCTATTAGCGACGACTGAGGCCCCCCTGAAAGCCAGAAGATCCCCCCCAAGATCCTCCGAACCCCCCACCCCCACTCAGTTGATACATAATGACTGGTCTCTTACCATCCAGCAGGCCTGTAGCCAGTGTTATAACAGATGTTGCAGGGTTCAGCCATGTCTCAATGGAGGAATATGTCAGGAAAATTGTGACGTGACTGGAAGGCGATTCTTGTGTCATTGTCCNGAAGTTTTATGGCAGTTGTTTAGTCTCGTCATCGTACTTTCAAACAAGCGTCCCCGTGTCTCCGTAGTCTGCGACTTTACCATTCCTAATGAATGAAGCTGTTTCTAATATCATGACAAACTGAACATCAAAGCCTGTTTAATTTATTCCCAACAGATCGCTGAACGAGATATGGATTACCAAAAGCACCTGTACCAAGATTGTTCGTGGTTTTACGTGGCTTATTTAAGGGTTGTAAAAGTTTAGTTCCACTGCTGAAACACACACTGAGACTTCAAGGAGTCCCTCCATTTCGGCAAAATCCTAGGCGCGCCTTCAAAAAAATTAGCTTAAGAAAAAACGATAGTGGCTAGAGTGCCGCGCTGAATCCTGGTTGTGCTTCTAGTGCCCCTCACTTGTTCTTACCACATTTCGACGTCGTTTGTGATCTATTGAACAGACCCACATTAAAGTGGAATCTCGGTGTTAAATAGAACTGCAGTCTGTTCAAGTGATTCTTTGTCTAACAAACCAAGTTCGCTTGGGACTTCTCGAAGTTTTTGTGAACCTAACCGCACAACTCATAGCTATTGAACAGGAAAATGACGCAGACTTTCACGTTTTTCGTACTGCGCTGGAAAGCCGTCATGGTCCATTCAAGGAAATAGTAAAATATAATTTAAGATTATTCGCGAGATTAGATAAGAATGGCGCGTCACCTTTACTTTTTTCACTCCATGGATCTGAAAACCGACTGGCTTTACACTGAAGACCAAACCTTTTGTTATTGTTTGTAAGAAAATTTGTGTCGTATCAAGTCATTAATATCCCAATGATAGTTTTCTAAGTTCTCGTTACCTGTTTGTTGGATAGTGCATCACCCCAGAATCATATATTGATGTCTAGGGAATAAACGAAAAGATCACCAACTAAAGAGGGTCTTAACTGTTTTGTTTTTTTTTTTAACTCCCTTGTCAGCTCCTCAGAAAATGTCATAAAGAAATGTAAAGTACAACCCATATTGAGAGTGGAACCTACTGGGATACGAAGGAAATACGCTATTTGTCTTGTCTTGGAAAAAAAAATCCACGTCCCCCCTCAAAAGGAATAGAACCTGAGTCATTCATATTTCGCGAACGATGTTTTAAGATTGAGAGACAAAGAACTATATTGCAATTAAGGCCTCACTAGATTCATGTGTGACATGCGTTCAGCATTCTGCGGGGATCAACCACGTCGAAATTGTGTTGTAAGTAAATAAAAAGATGGAAGATTTTTCAATTCCAATCCATTTTTTTACGAAAATCGAGCTTATTCATGGCGTCAGTATTATCTTCCTATCACATTTTTAACTTGTATAGTGCACTTTCAGAGCGAACATGTTCTTTTTCAGCAAGCTTGATCTCGCGTCTAACCTCCTGACGAAAAAAGGGATAAGCACTCCCGTGTAATTTGTCATTAGTTTTCGTGGCCTCTTTGTGCCACATATCAAGCAACTTCATTAGTTCTTTGATCTCAAGCATGATGAACGGATCAGACTTGAATTGGAATTTCTCATAATTCGTTTGATGGGAGCGTGGTCGTCCAAAACCTGAAGGAAAAGGCAGTTAAAGACATGTACTTGATCTTCAGGATCGTCGAAAAGATCGATTATATGGAAGGGAACATTTGCCAAATCGTCAATAAAAGTAATTTTTATAGCTTCTTGTAGTTACAAAAATATTCCGTGGCCTTGGTGTCTTGAACTTAAGTGTTAAGCTCACCAAACTGTAATCGCTAATTGCAGACTGTATTACGTCACAAGAATAGATGATATTCTCGTTCGTTGGCAGAACAACATCGATGAGTGATTTGGATTTTTCAGTTACTCATGTTGCGATTTTAACGAGTTGAGTCAGACTAAAAGTCGAACAAACATTGCTCAGCGCGCGACCATCAGAATCACTCTCAAGAACATTACAGTTAAGATCTCGAAGGATGAACACATTTAAGCCATGTGGCAAAGAGTGCATTGTAAACATTGGCAAATGCATGTACTTACATAGTTTGACGGCAAATAAAACTGAGTCTAACGGTTACTAAAAGGCTTAAAGTCAAGCTTGTAAATTATGTTTTTAAATACGTAAAAGTTTGAGGTATCACGGGTAGACGAAGGCAAGTTATTTCAAAGTTGGCTGGCGATTCTTGCGTATGATTCAGTTTGTTGAGGACTTTCCCCACTGAATAAGGCATTAAGAAGGTCTTGACCGTTAAGCATCTTGACCCATATTCTCCTCTTTGTCATTTGAAACGTATAGACATCAATATGGAGAATATGCATACTGCCGCTAGTTATAGAGTGCAACTAATCCTGCATGTATTCAAGTCTTACATGAAGCAACATTTGGCTTTGATTCAAATAAGTTCGGTGTGCAGATTCTGTTTTTAGGGCGCAAGAAACATACAGGTCTGCAACTAAACACGGGCTATTGTTAAGGGCGTTCAGTACCTGGTATATCCTCCTAAAAAATTTAAAATGTAATTAATTTGCAAAAAAAAATTCCATTTCTCAATTTCAGGGTTGGCAATCGATATAACCCGAGACTCCTGAAATGCTCACACCCTTGTTTGGAAATCCAAGATAGAGTATACAAATTCAGCAATGCAATTCGAAATCATGAGACATCGTAGCACTACTGTTGCTCTTCCTAGATATTACAACTTGGTACTTTTAATTAGAGGAAATTATTGAGCTACCATAGCCCCTTTTGCGTTCCTTTTTTGAGATGTATTATCTGTGTAAAATGTAACATTTTCATAGGACAATGGTCCTACAACGATAAAGCCGAGCCACTCTCTCTCTCTTTCCAGACCTTCCGCTATGAGAGCTCATCCTAGACTTCAAGAAATTTCCAAACTCTGAGACTCGTCGCCAACGTTGACGAAAGTTCGATCAAGATTGCGTGAAAATTTTTACGAGACTCACGATTTTAATTCGAGATACCGTTCGTTGGCCCTAATTAAGGGTAATAAATTATTTATTTAGGTTTTTTTTTAAATGACCGAGTGCGCCGTTTGTTAAAAGGAGACTTTTCTCGGAGCGAGGTACCACCACTTTCTAATTTTTAACTTTTATGATCTGAAATTTATTACCGTGCTTTCTTTATAGGCTCAGTAGGAATGCCTAGGTTAAATATCCATGTTTTTACAATCTCTTACTGCTTAGATGATTCAAAGTGGCATTCGAAGGTTTTTGTGAGCTTTCAGAAGCTAATTTCACTCATTTAGGACTCAGGTTATCCGATGTATAATTGGACAGAGTTCTCTTTAAGTCTTAATTTGTCTTTTTAAATGATGTCGGTTAATATTTACCGATTTTTTAAATTTCGTGCACTGACATAAGTTCAAACTGAACCTTTCCCAATTTTGAAATTTTATCAAGCAAATAAAAGTAAAATTTGAGATAAAAACGCGACTTTGTCCATGTAGAGTACCAAAAGTAAAAAGGGAACGGAAACTGCTGCATGCCGACTGAATGCATCCAAGATTGTTTAATTAAATCCAAGACTGTTTAACCCCTAATTGATAATAGCAGGGAAGGATTGGAACCCTCAAGAACTTTTTTAAAAATTACATTCTTTGAATTGTGATGAGGTAAATGCTCTGGTCATTTTCAGAGGTGTCTGTTTTGAAAGTGTTCTCCTCTACTTATCTAACTTACGTTTGAAATATCGGTTGACACTCAAGTATCAGATGAGTAGTTGATTACGTAACCATCGTATTAAACCATATAAGGGTGATTTTTTTTAGCACTTTGGCTTGAGTTAAGGGCTTAAAGATTACGCATGCCTCTGAAGCACTGGTGCCGTATGAAGACTTTAACAAGGATCAGCTGTCACCACATTTAAGGTTACCGTACACCTTCGGCCGGGGTGTCTCGTGTGCAAGCGATGTAGCCAGCGTGTCCGGTTTAAACTGTAGACATCTAAACCCCTATATCAAATTAAAGCTTATAGGACTGGCTATCAGACTATACCAAAAATTTTGAAAAAAAAATGAATTGTCGAATTTTTCACGACTTCTAAATGCGAGCGCCCGAATCACCTTTTCAACGTTACATGTCAAAGCGAATTCAGTTTTTCGCTTATTTAATGTGTTACTCCGTTTCCGGGACCAAAGCGCTAAAAAAACGTGTCTGCGATTTGCCATATTCAATTTAAGCGGTGAAAAGTTACAGAACATTTTTGAAATAGGATTAAAAAAAAATTGTGGAGTGATCGTACAGAAATCGCTCTTGAAAAAAAGGTATTTAGAAATAAAAATTTGGAGACACTTTTTGTTGTTTATATGTAAAACTAGCCACTGTCAAAATTTGAGAGCAATCGAACAAGTTCCCTTTGACTTGTAGCTCTTAAAAGGTGATTCGGGCGCTCGCATTTAGAAGTCAAGAGAAATTCGACAATTTATTTTTTTTCAAACTTTTTGGTAGAGTCTGATAGCCAGTCCTACAAGCTTTAATTTTATATAGGGGCTTAGATATCTACAGTTTAAACCGGACGCACTACATCGCTTGCACGCGAGACACCCCTAAAGGTGCACGGTAACCTTAAGGCAAATTTTAAACTTTTGGCGATTTTTCAACTCTCAGTTAATCCCATTCAGACGTTCGTAGATGTTAATGTCATGCTATTAATTTTTTTTTTGGAAGAAGACCAAGGAACTAGCTGAGTAGTGGACGAAGACAAAATAAGAAACGGTAGCAATTGTTCTCAAAAGAAGAAAATATACTTACCACCTCTTTGAGGAAAACACATCACTCGGCAATGTAAGTATAATATGAAAGGACTTGATTATGTCACCAGTCACTGATAATTTAATCGTGCTACTAAGAATCGGATGAATTTATGGATTACGTAACCGTCGTTTTAAATCATATGAGAACGACTTTTCAAACAAATTTGGCGCTTGATTCTTGGAGAGTACTTATACAAAGAGTTATGCCGAATCTCTATGGCTGCAATTACCTCCCAAATTGGGTTCGATGGTCGAAAAAAATAGTCTTTGAGCACTTGAGCAGTATGAAGTCTTAGACCAAAGTCAGTTATTTCAGTTAAAGGCGATTTATCAACTTTAGCAAT